TTTTCCCTGTTTTTTTTAAAAGATTTATTTATTTATTTGAGAAAGGCAGGAGGGGCAGAGAGAAACTTAAGCAGACTCTGCGCTGAGCACAGAGCCAGACGCGGGCCTCGATCTCACCATCCTGAGATCAGGGCCTGAGCTGAAACCGAGAGTCAGTCAGCTCAACCAGCTGCGCCACCCAGGTGCCCTTGCCCTGTTTTTTTAATGACTGTTGGTGTCACTTCCAACGTCCTCAACTCTTTGAGCCACTATTCTCCCTGAAAGGCTAATAGTCTTTGAAAAGTTTATTTTCCCTGGACACATTTCTTTGGCTTCAGCAATCAAACACGATTTAATTAACTCATCATCAGTAAATGGCTTTCCTTGCTTGGCTAACAAATGAGCCACTCAGAAAATTACTGTGGCTGCAGCCTCATTTTCATTTTTTTTTAATTTTTGTGACGAATTTTGCTATGATAAGATATTCCATTTTAAACTTTCTAGTTTTCCTAATCACTGCTTTCCTGGGAGTCAGGAACATTGCAATGAGTGATTATTTCGGTGATGTTGTTGCATACTGTATTTCTTTTAGCAACACTACAGGGTCATTGTGTAATAAACACAGTGCTTTGACATCTAATGTGATAACCAAGTAATCTACGTTCACTGTGCCTTAAAAGCATGACATTCGAAACTCCCTTTGTTTTCTTTTTTTTTTTTTACATGATAGGTATGCACATGTAATTAAAAAAAAAACGAAATGCCATAATCTGGGGATACACGTGGCATTCAAAATGCGGTCGAGTTATAACCGCGTCACTGCGCTGTATGGTACACCCACCAACAGCGTGTAGTGATGACCGCACCACATACAGTCTCTGTCACAGCTCCTCAACTCTGCTCCTGGAGCACAAAAACGGCCACGGACAATACATGATCGAAATAGCATGGCTGGGGGCACCTGGGTGGCTCAGTCGGTGAAGCGTCTGCCTTCGGCTCAGGTCATGATCCCGGGGTCCTGGGATCGAGCCCTGCATTGGGCTCCCTGCTCGGCGGGGAGCCTGCTTCTCCCTCTCCCACTCCCCCTGCTTGTGGTCCCTCTCTCGCTGTGTCTCTCTCTGTCAAATAAATAAATAAAATCTTAAAAAAAAAAAGAAAAGAAATAGCATGGCTGTATCCCAATGAAACTTTATTTATGGACGTGGAAAATCTGAATTTCGTATTATCCTCACGGGTCCTGAAATATTAAATATTCTTTTGATTTCTGCAACCATTTAAAAATACAGAAAATTACTTTGGGTTTACAGGCCCTAAGGGGAAAAGATGGTGGGCTGGATTTGGTTGTAGCTTGCTGGTGGATGTGGCCAGTTTGATTGAATTCCTACACCCCACGTTGAAACCATATGTATTCGTTTTCTGTTGCAGCTGTAACGCACGACCACAGACTTAGTGGCTTTAAGAAAACGAAAACGTATTATCTTATGGTTCTGGAGATCCGAAGTCCAAAATCAATCTCACTGGCTGAAAGTCAAGATGTCAGCAGGGCTGGTTGCTCCTAGAAGCTCCAGGGGAAAACCCATTTTTGCCTCATGCAGCGTCTAGAAGCTACCGGCATCCCTTGGCTCCTTGGCTGGCGGCTGTATTGCTCCAATTCCATGGTCACATGACCTTCTCTCTGAATTCAGACTTTCTTCCCTCTTATAAGGACTCATGTGATTACATCAGGCCCACTGGTTTATCCTGGATAATCTCCCGATCTCAAGATTCTTAATTTAACTACATCTGCAAAGTCCCTTTTGCCATATAAGGTAACGTATCCACAAATTCCAGAGATGAGGATGAGAAGGTCCTGGGGTAGAGGTGCATGATTCAGCCTACTACGCCACGCCTTTGTTTTTGACTCTGCAACTTAGCAGGTAGTGAAAGTCTATGTTCATGGCCCTAATGTTCCCGTTTCTCTACACTTCACTATTTCTCTCTCCGCTCTCTCCCTCTCCTTATGTCCTTAGGGTCTAGAGATGGACAGCATACTACTACTGTCACTGCCAAGAATACACATTGTGACAACTGTTGTTTCCTATAAGCAATTTTCTTGACTTGTCTTCTGAGGCTATTGGAGTCAAGAAAGACCCTGTGGTTTTATATTCTGTTGTTTCCTGGTTGCCATTTGTACTAAATGTTAGTGATAGAAGTGGGAACCATAGGAAAATAAAATTCCTTACCTTCTCTGGCTAACAGAAATACAAACTCACAGCCTCATAAGGCAGGAAATGACAGTTTATTCAGTCTCTCTCTCCCCGACCCAAAATAGTTCAGGAGAATCACAATCCAGTCTGCATTTTGAAAGCCTCATGAACAAAATCCCACAATTTCCCTAGTTATATATTCCCGTACCTCACAGTCCTCCCTTTTAGGAAAATTCTCAAGTCCTTGCCTGGGGATGGTTTGGAACTTTTTATCTTCCCGGCAGCTGCATCGCTAACACACTTTTCTTTCCAACGAAAAGGACTTCTATTCTGGACCCCTGCTTTTGGGGAGGGGAGTGGTGCTTGGCTGTGAAGAGGGTATTTCTTCAAGATGTCAGGGTGAGGGGTGCCTGGGTGGCTCAGGCGGTTAAGCGTCTGCCTTCGGCTCAGGTCATGATCCCGGGGTCCTAGGATCGAGCCCCCCCCCATCGGGCTCTCTGCTTAGGGGGAAGTCTGCTTCTCCCTCTCCCTCTGCCTGCCTGCTCTGCCTACTTGTGCTCTCTCTCTCTCTCTCTCTCTCTCTCTCTCTGTCAAATAAATAAATAAATAAAATCTTTAAAAAAAAAGATGTCAAGGTGAAAAGGGGATGGAAGGAATGCTTGGCCAACTATGCTATAGTTAGCATGTTCTAGCCTGATAATCATCTGTGCTAGAGAACGATCTTCCGTGTTGCTGCTTTGCTATGACAACGCTGTTTCTGGTGAGGAATGTGGGGGCACAGTATTTCTGCAGTGGGATTCCACCGTGCAGTCAGGGCCTGCCCTCCCCCATCCCCTGATGCCACGGGGCTTCCCAAACTGCTGTGGTTCGTGTCCCCGAGGTTTCTTGATTAGACAGTCAGAGAGCTACTCATGAGCTAGGGCAAAGGAATTTCAGAAAATAAACAAGCCCACAACAAACCCAGCTACATCTCTGGCTTTCAGTGAGTTTCAGATTTTTCTATCCAGCGGCGGGAGCCTCCCCTCCCAGCCCCTTCCCTGCTCTCCAGTACAGTATAGGCAGCTTCTCAGCCCCTATGCAAGCTAGACCTGGAAAACCTCTAAAAGCCGCCTATCAAGCCTAAAGCCCTCATCCTTGCGTCTGAGGGCATCTAACCAACTTCTGTCCCGCTCACTTTTCCAAGCAGGGGTCTCATCATCCCCCATTAGCCCCGCTAGTCTGTCCAGTATCCCCAGAACATTCTTGAGCTCCACGTGCTCCTTCATGCTGTTGCGCTCATAGAAACTGCTTGACTTCTCTCCCGGGGAAGTCTCTCCCTGCTGTCGCTTCTGTTGAAACAAAACTGAAACAGACCCATTCCAGGAAGCTCGTTCTAACCCCCACCAGACTGAGGGTTTCCCCTGCTGTGCGGTCCCTCCGCATTTGTAGATTCACACGCTTCTGCTATGTTTCTTGGTGCTGCTCTGGCAGGCAGAGTTCAAAGATCCCTGGCCATGGATGTACACACACCTTCTCCCAGTTATTCAAATGCTAATCTAGGTTCTGCTGTGAGGGAATTTTGCAGATGTGATTAAGGTCCCAGATCAGATGATACTGGGGGGGGGGGAGCTTATTAGATAAGCCCTTAAAGTGAACTGGGCTCTTCCTGAAGAAAGATTCCAAGTGTGAGGGGAATTTCATGGGAGAGAAGTTCTCAGGTGCTGGCTTGAAAATGGAGCAGGCCACGTGGCAAGGAATGTGGGTGACCTCTAAGAGCTGCGAATGGCCCCTGGCTGGCAGCCAGTGAGCAAATGGGGGCCTCAGTCCTTATAACTGCAAGGCATTGAACTTGGCCAACAGCTTGTGGTGATCTGTTAAGTAGCAGTTGAAAACAAATGCACTTGCTTTTGTAGCTTACATGTGTATTAGAAGACTGCCAGTTACCAGATGAGAGGAAAAGGAGATTTTTAAACTTATTTTTGTACCCCCTGCCCACCACAGTCACAGTGTGATGCTATTAGGGAGACTTGCCTTAGCTCCTGATATGTTGGTGTCAATGGGAAATAAAAATCCTTTCCCATGAAAGTACCTGTATTTAAGCAGCAGCTGGAATCACGACCATCGTCAAGTGTCTCCCGCCTCCCACCTTAGAAACAAATTTCTGCACATCTGATATCTTACGGACATCTTTGCTCGGATTTCTCACCAGTCCCATGCACTCAGTAAGTCACTGCACTCAGTAAGTCCCCAAACTGCCCCCCTCCCCACTCTGTTCCTGAGTTCTGTCCGTGGCACCTTCAAAGCCCCAGTTATCTTGGGGCTTAGAACTCCAGCCATTGTTGACTCCTTCCTCTCTCCTGCCTCCAAGTTCAATGTGTTGCTGAGTCCCCTCCATTCATCCCGTCCCCTCCGATTTTGTTGTCACTGCCTGGTTCAGTATTTCTCACCTAGACTACTTCAAGTGTCTCCTAGCTGCTCTCCTGGGACCCGCATCTCTGACTAGCCCGACTCTAATTATGCACAGCCACCTTCCAAGGAACCCATTAGCTTGACGTTCAAAACTCTCCATGACTTAACCCAAACTTACCTTTCTCATATTTTCCAAAAATTCTTGAAATGAGTGTTTTGCCTACCTTCTAAGTTATTTGGAGTTGACCTTTACAAATTATTCTTTAAAACTGTTATTGCTTTTGCAGGTCCACATACTAACTGTGACTCTTCTCTGCAACCTGCAGCTTTTTCACGTGCGTCTTCCCGTTACTTTCACTTCAGACTCTCTGCCCTTGCAATTCTCCGCAGTCGGATATTCTCATACCTTGGACTCTTCCGAATATATAGTAGCCGCTTGGCTTGTTGAACTGCCAAGGGGAAATGTGGTTCCAGAGCCAAATTGTGAGTGCCCAGAGCTAAAACCTTATTGTGCCTGCCTTAAGCTCTCATTCCCTCCCCCAGGACACACACCACCATTTTATCCTGCTTGGGGGTGATCATTGGCCTAAACATTGGGACCGGAATCCCGCACGTTCATCTCATAGACGAGGGACCCACAGCTCCCTGTCATAGCCGAAGCCGATTTATTCTTTCGATTTTCAGTGATTTGAACCAGTCACACACCCTCCTCCCCAGCCTCCCGGGTCCCTAGAGTTCCCGCTTTCCGAGAACCAGATTTCCCTCCCCCCACTGTCTCCTCCCTTCTACTTAGGGACTTCCATCCTTCTCCTCTGCCCCTCCCCCGGCCCCCCGCCGCCCCCGGCCACAGTGCGCACAGTTATAAGTGATCTGATCTCAAAAAAAAAAAAAAAAAAAGAAAAAGAAAACAGAAAAAAGCTTCCCAGGGTTCGTCCGAGCCTGGGCAGGTGGAGACGGACCCCATTCCACCACTAATTCCTAGTGAATTACAGGCTTCCGCTCGGCAGGCAGCATGCCTCCCACTCCCGCACCAGCCGGGCGCTCCCCGCCTCCCGCTGGGGTTTAATGACCTAAGCAACTTTCCCGGCCACCCCCCCCGCCCTGTCTTGGTACGGCCTGTCCGGCGTTCGGCGTTCCACCCCCCCCTCTCCTTCCAGGTTGGTTCAGCCCCCGTCTACTCCGGGGTGGTGCTTAGCCGGCGCCAGACCGACCCTCGACTTCGGAGGGGCAGTGCCGTTCCTCTGGGCGCTTCCTCGGCGGCCGCTTCGGCTCCTTCAGCCTCCTCGGCCTCCTCGGCCTCCTCAGCCTCCGCCGGGACCCGAGACCTCGGTGTATGCCCCACCCCTGACCCCGCTAGAGATATGTCCACCCCGGCTCGGCGGCGCCTCATGAGGGACTTCAAGAGGTAAGGCGACGGGGGACCGCCGAGGCCGGGGGGCTGCCAGGCGGGGCACAGGGCGGGTCCCGAGGCGGGCCGGGTGCGGTGCGGGGCGCGGGGCGCGGGGCGGGGGGGGGGGGCGCTGGCCGGCCCGGAGCGGACGCGAGTGCCGGATTGCGGAGCCCCTGTTTCCCTGAAGGTTGCAGGAGGATCCTCCAGCTGGAGTCAGCGGGGCTCCGTCCGAGAACAACATAATGGTTTGGAACGCGGTCATTTTCGGGTGAGTGTGCGTTCCGGGAGGTGGCGAGAGGTGGGGGACTCGGGCCGGCCGAGCCTGCCGTCGGGGACCGGCCCCCGGCGAGGACGGAGAGGGAGAGGGAGAGGGGGAATGTTTGGGTCCGGCTGGGCCTAGGCGCCTCCCCGGAGCCTGTGCCTCGATTAGCTCAGTTCCCGCTGCCCGGGGAACCGTTTGGGGTTCTGAGGGGGGCGGAGCGGGGAGTGGTGGCGGTTAGGCGCGGCGCAGGCCGCCGGGTTTCGGAGCCCCAAACGTCTATTTGTAGTGGCTTGCTGACCCGGGAAGCGGTGGTTTCCCGGGCCGTAGGGTTGGCAGAGCTGGGAATAGCAGTGTCTTAAGGTGAACCTCTTAAGGGAGAAGGGGGCCCCTGAAGCGGGAACTGACTGTTTTTCTCTTGCGTTGCAGGCCTGAAGGGACCCCGTTTGAGGATGGTAAGAGAGTTTCTTTACCCACCTTTCAGGAGCCTGATCATCTGGGGGAAAGGGTTTCCAGTCCTCCTGGAAGTGCCTCCTACTTAAGAACCCGCTTCTCCCTAGCCCCTGCCTGCTAAAGGCTTGAGTGAACTCCCATACGTGGCAGGTTGTTCTGGCCATTGTCCGCTTGACTAGAACTGCACCTTTTTTCTTGCTTGCTTCTTTAAGAAAAAAAAAAAATCTGGGTAAGGTAGTCACTTTTTAGAAGGGGCCTCATAGCACTGATGTGAAAGATTTTTGAGGTCTGGGCTGTGATCCTGCTCAGTTGAGCACCCTGTCAAGATACTGACTTAGTATCAACCCAACCACTTGCTGATAGACTCAGAGACCACCTAGTTCAGAATTCTACCACAAGGGCAGGAACTGTGTTCAGCAGGTGCTTAATATGTGTTTGTTGGGTGTTGGATGGGTGTGAGAGTTCCTTGCACAGAACTATCTGGTTTCTACAATTTGGCGTTGAATACCTGTCAGCCTCATGGCTCTGAGATGGTCTTTAATGGCACTTTAATGGCCAGCTTGTATATAATATTGTTTCTTATTTTTAAATGAGTTTTCAGTGGGCTTTTATCAAGACTTTATGGTCAGTATTCTCCAAGCAGCTTCAGAATTGAGGGGAGCCTTCATGTACTCTCTTGAGAAGTGTCCAGCCTACTTGAAGGTACTATATGTATCTATAGGTACAGGATTTTTAATGGATTTAGGCTTGACTTTTAAAAACACTTTACTTGCTTTTTAAGTTTTTCTTTAAACTTTCTATTTTGAGATAATTACAGATTCATGTGCGGTTGTAATTAATAATAATAATACAGAGAGACCTTGTATACCTCTCACCCATTCCCCCACCCCTTTGGTAACATCTTGAATGACTGTACTACAATATCACAGCCAGGAAATTGACATCGATATAGTTTTATGTACATTCAGTTGTGTGCACGTGTGTGTGTAGTCGTTTTTGGAAAGCTTAATACATTTAAAACACAATTAAAAGTATTTGAACTACTGATCGACATCTTTAATATTTGAGGTATTTAAAAAAGCAAAGGATCTTTGTTAGTTTTTTCAGTGACCATCTTCCTTTACTCATTTAGCGTTTGATACACACACACATGCACACACTCATACGCAGAGCTCAGTTTGAAGGTGGGAACAAAAACATTTCTGCAGACTACTAAGTATATACTTATATTGCCGAGTCCGATTGCTCTCTGATTCTACCAGTCTGCGAGATGTGATGAGGAAGGGCAGTATCAACCAACTCTCTGATTTGTCTCAAATACTCATTTGAGTATTTGATTTCCCTAGGAGACTGGACAGTCACCTGAATACTTTTAGCTTCCTCCCTGCCTCCACCCCCTGGGTAAATGTCACTGCTCTTCAGTGCTGCAATAAAAAGAAATGACAGCAAGAGAGTGATTCTAAAGGCATACTACTTTGGTGCAGTAAATCATTTGAACTGATCCATAGCAAGAGCTAGCTTGACTTAATTTTCCTCTGCTAGATTGGTGCTAGTTCTTTATACCTAAGCATTGTGTGCAGATTAACTGTGTTTGCTTTAGCTCTGGCAGGCTTTATTTTCATTGGCTTCTTTTTTTCCTCCTGACTACTCAGACGGCTTTATGCTGGGCACAGCTTTATTAATAGTACATCACTTTGCTGGAGGATTGGCTACTTAAATATTTCAAGGGTGCTTCACTCGTTTTAAGTGGTATGAATTGAGAAGGTACTTAAGGAATCCATTATCTACCTGGATCTTCCCCGTTGACATCACCGGTTCTATTTTTGATGATGTGTATCTCCATACTGGCATTACTGAAAGGAACTACTCCAGCTAAATAACAATACCCTTTTCTGATCCATTCTCTTGAGCAGTCTGCTATCCGCGGTTGCTTCCTCGGGTGTCTAGAACGTGAGCTGTGGCTACAAAAAATATTTTGACCATTCTTTAATACCCTTTATTTACAATTAGGGAATTTACTAGAAAAGCCTCATTAGGGACAAGTGGCACAATTGATTTTGCTGTTTCCAATGTATTATATAAATCAACAACCCCAAAACTACTTCTGCTGTTTCCTTGTAAATCATTTGTGGTGGACATTTCTGGAACAGCCAGACCCCAGTTAAAGAGATGAAGACTTAAGAAAAGGAGCTCTTGAAGGTATTTTGACTTAACTTCACACACTTAAAGTAAGAGGAAAATGTTCTCAAGAACTTACACTACCAAATAAAACACTGGGGGGCAATGCTTCCTCATCAAAATATCTTGGCATGGATGCTGAATACAAAGACTATGGAATAAAATATTCTCCATCACATCATCTAAAAATTGTTAATACACACAGTAAGATACTAGTATTTGCTTTTTGTAAGAATTTGGTTGTGAGTCTTTTAAAAATTAATCACTCAGAATCCACTGAGGGTGTTCTTAAGGTAAATACATCCTATGATGAGGAGTATTTGGGTATTATCTTAAAAATCAGAATCTCCGGTCATCAAAAAAAATTTTTTTAGGCGCATGTACTTTGTGTTCTCCTCCGGGGTCACAAGCTGGTGGCCAAATGGCAGAAAACACGGAGGTGTTTTTTGTGAATGTCTTTAGCAGAACATACACTCTCTAGTCTAACCATATCACTCCTTATTGCCATGCCCCTGCCATCGAACACAAAGTTTTCCTAGTCCCCTGTATAGATGGATTGATACTTTCCTTACAATGTTTTGGCCTCCTCAGGAAGATGAACAAAAGCAGTACAGATTGTGTACAATAGTGAGGCTTAAGTCTTCCATTATTTTAAAGCCTAACCTTCTGAATATCCAGAGGATAAGCTCTAGTCTCAATTGCATAATATTCTAGGATTTTAAATTTCCTTAACGTTTGTTTTGGATCTCAGAAATTGCATTGAGGGTTGTATTAAAAAGGTTCCAGTAGTATAATGTGGCTAAAAGTATGAACTCTATCCCCTTTTAAAAACGTATTTGCAATAAGATTTGGGGTAAGTCCTAATTTATATTCAAGTAGACATAAGCAGGTTGTTTCACTTCCCAAGATAGTAAATGAGCTGTTTAAAAAGACTTGATTAACTTATTTGGTATCTAGTGTTGAACTTCTGGGCAAGTATTAGGCAGAAAGTTCAAGTCAAGGGTTTCGAGAGCCACCAACCTACATACTCAACTTGATTTCAGCTGTGAGCGTTTGGTGTCGGTCAGAAAGAAAGTCGTAGTTAATATTAAAATTCATTCATTGTATATTTCTTACTGATAGTCAAGTTGAGAGATTTGGTTTTTGCCGCCTCCATCTGGGTCTAGGAGTGTGAAACTTTAAAATTATAGCTACCATATTTATGGAGCACTTACTTTGTGTCACTGTGCACATTTCCCTCATTTAAACCTCACAACAATGTAATGTGGTGGGTACTATTACTAACCCCATTTTACAGATGAGGGACTTGAGGTTTAGGCAAGTCGAGTGGCTCCTAGTAAGTAGCAAAGCAAGGAACTGAGCCCAGGTCTGACTGCAAGGCCGTGCCCTTCCCTACTGGGCTCTGTTTCCACTTAACGCCTGTCTTATGTGTTGCTTTACCACTTTTGGATATCATATTTAATGATGGTCTTAATTTAAAGTACCTGGGCCCTAGTACCTGTGTGCTATTAAATCCGCCCACTTTTAGAGCAACTCCGTGATGACAAATCTCTTACCTATAATTTAATCAGATTTCAACATTGAGCCAAATGTGTTTATACTTGAGATGCATAAGGAAGCTCAAAGTTTTGAGCTCTCTAACACTCATTCCCACTTTTTCCTGTGTATTATAATATCAATGGCACTGAAAAGGAAGAACCAATATTTCTTCCTCAAAACTAGGAAGATTCATGACCAGGTGGTAATAAGGTGAAGTATGTTCTGATAGACTATAGCGTGTTTGTCCATTCCAAAATATTTCACTTTTCGCCCTTAGTTATAATATACAGTATCTTCAGATCTGGCTTTCACACAGTTTAGGGAGTACAGTAGTTTGGGGAATATGTCTATCTGTGTTGCACTTTAAATTATTCCGAAACTTTGGAACATACTTCATCATACTAAGGGCAACTGTTAGCAAATTGTTCCCTGTGAGTTTGCTGGTAGGAAACAGACTTTGGTATTGTTATGTAATGGATCTAGCAGTAGAATGTAGTCTTTTTTTTTCTTAGGTGGTGATAAACCTATTGATGGAGGAAATTGCCAACTCTGAAGAAACCAGTAACAAGTTATACTCGACCTGAAGTGTGGTCTATAGTATTAGAATAAATTTTTTAAATGGGCCAGAGTAATAGTGGAATATCCACCACCTTATGCCAGACAGTGATTGCTTAAGCTTACTTGAAGAGATTTCAGTCAGGAATAAACAGTTGCCTAATTGTTTTCTTGGATTTATTAAACGTAATTTTAAAAATATTTTGAAGGAAACAATCTCCCCAAATCAGAACATCCTACAATTCTTGAATGAGATCCAGTGTGTTCATTCCTTATAAATAAGTCTATAACCTAGTATATGTCAGGGCCTCCTGCTACCTGAGTTGACACATATTCAAGGAAAATAAATTCATTTCATTAGAATTGAAACAAACATCATTAGAAAGATAAATTTGCTGGAGACATGAATGCAATCTAATGTGATTTTTAAATTATTTCTGCCATTAATTCCCTCCATTAGTGTGAATAGTTGAGTTGATTTTATAGTGTAGTACCTTGTGAGTCGTACTTAAGGATTTTTGAGAGAGACTATGAAAGTTTTTTCTGGCTTACGTTCAATTATGTTTTCATTATAGAGTCGCTACTACATGAAAAGGAGCTGGTGAACACTTTTATACTTATTCCCTTCCATTTTTAGAGACAGTTTGGTTACAGATTTGTATCTCTAGCACTGATTTTGGAGGCTTTGTACTCTCGTTCTCTTTAGCCCATGTCAAAATCACTGGAGAGTTTATAAGATGGCGGCTGGTTAAAATAGGCCTTTGAGGTCTCTCGGTCTTCTGAGGCAAGAGCGCCAAACTTTGGCTCTAGTTTCTTGTCATTTTAAGGATATCTTCAAAATGGACAGTGGCTAAAGTTATCCTGCAGGCAGTTCTTTTGAGTTTAAGACGACTGTATTTAAGTTTGGGGGAGAATGATGGCAAAACAAAAAAATCCGCGTTGGGTGGTGGTTCTTACAATATCTATTTTTAGAGCAGTTCCTAGAGATCATGGCTTATCTTGTCTCTTAGCCGGCCTTTCTTTCCTCTCTACCCTCTATCTTTGCATTATTTCATTTGGTACTAGAAAAAGTGTCATGTAGCATTACAAAGAAAGTACTACTGAACAAAGTGATAAATCTGTTTCTTAAACCTTTCTTTTCTAACTACAGGAACATTTAAGCTTACAATCGAATTCACTGAAGAATATCCAAATAAACCACCTACGGTTAGATTTGTCTCTAAGATGTTTCATCCAAATGGCAAGTATCACTTTTAATGCAGTATTTTAAACTACATGTTAATAATGGGAGGTGTTCCACGTTTCCTATGTATTTGTCCATAATACCTGAGTATTTGTTTAGGCATCTTGCCGTTTCCTGAAAACAACTTGTTCATGATGGTCTGTTGCTGTCTTGATCTCTAGTCCTAGAACTGAAGCAGTGAAGGTACTCTGCTTTGGCTAGAGTCTGCAAGCCTCCTGGTTTGGATGATCTTTATCGTTTACTTACTATACAAAAATAAGGACGCTCTTGACGTTTCCTTTTAATGTCGGATTGGGGTAGTCTTGTGACTATTTTCACAACACTTAGAACTATTTACTCAGAACAATAGTTTTCAACTTTAGATGCAGAATTACCATGGAACACTTTAAAAATAGAGATGCCTTGGCACCACTCCAGACCTGCCGAATATGAGATTCTGTGGCTGAGGGCTACGGTGTATTGGAAAAGCAGCACAGTGATTCTAACTTACATTCTGCTTTTTTGGCTAGTAGTAAGCCTAGAACAGCTTGCTTTTTTATTTAGGTTAATAAAGTATTTTCCGGGATATCAGATATTTTTATCCTCATGCTGAAATGAGACCTTGTGAACTCCAAGCTATCTTCTGTTATTTTGGATAGGAGATAGAGTTTGCAAATTTAGTGGAATAAACTTCCCACGTGTCTGGATGACTAGGGACCCAGTTGGAAAACGCGTATGATTTCCTGGTTAATAGGGCAGTCTTTTCAGAAGTACACTAAGTATCTTCTAGTTTTATATCAATTATATTTGACATTCTTTGACTGTTTCACAGCAATGATTAGAACTCTTCTTTTTAGGAAGGTAACTGAGAAGCAGTTTAGGAATCTTTTTAAACCTCACAAGCAAAGTATTCTTGACTATGTTTGTCTTGACTGTGATGTTAAAAATCCCAATAGTTTTATTACGTTTAACATACCTACTTCTGTGCTTAGTCTATGCAGATGGTAGTATATGTCTGGACATACTTCAGAACCGCTGGAGTCCAACCTATGATGTGTCTTCCATTTTAACATCCATACAGGTGAATTTTCCTTAATGTGACCAACTATGGCCTTTGATATGTTTCTGTTAGCACTTGGATTGTTTCTGGAAGTCCTAACTTAAGGTAAAGGGCAGGTCATTAAGACCCAAGCCCCCAGAAAACATGTATTTGCCTAGCTGCTAGCAGATTAATATTACTCTAGGTTAGTATGCTAAGAGATCCACTTCAGCTGTTACTGAGGGCAATTCAGTTGAGTGTTTGGAATAAAAATAAATAAATAAATAAATAGATAGATAGATAGATAGATAGATACACGCTTTTTTTTTTTTTTTTTTTTTGCATTGAGGAACTGACCTTTTACAAATTGTCTCTGTAGTCCCTATTGGATGAACCCAATCCCAATAGTCCAGCAAACAGCCAGGCTGCTCAGCTGTACCAGGAGAACAAGCGGGAGTATGAAAAACGTGTTTCTGCGATAGTAGAACAGAGCTGGCGTGACTGTTGACCCGGGTGCAGCAGAAGAAGAGGCTGGTCATAAGGAAAATATATATTGATGTGTTTGTCACCTTCCTGTTCCTCAATGTCATTACATTACTTTATTAAAAGCAAAATAGCTGTTGTGCTGTTTCCATCTTCCCTTGCCGAGCTTTCCCTAGCCCTTCTACCCTCTCCTTGAACCTCAGCAAACACCCTCTCTGAGATCAAATGTACTGTACCTGGGTTACGTGCGAACATTACTAACGCTTCACCCCCTCTCTGTTGTGTCTCAGCTCCGGTTGTAGGGCAGTATTGTGTTACCGTACTTTACACTAAGCTTTTAAAGTGAATTGTTACACAAGTGGTGCTTATGCATAGCTTGATGACCAGGATGTGATTTTTAACAAAAGGATTGCTGAAGTGTTTCATCCTGCCTGGTCCTTCACTTGTGTTGGATTTAGAAGTGAATGTCTGGAATATGGCCTATGGAAAACAGGGGAACAAATCCACATAAGCATCCATTCTGAAAGAGCAGTGGAGGCTAAAAATGCTATTATACTAAGATCCAACCAAAATTAATTACAAGATGGCTTTTACTGGTACGAAGGAAAAAGTTAAAGGACTTGGCCAAAGGAACGCAGCAATAACTGTAACTGACACATCCTCTCCTTGCAAGATATTCACTGGGCTCACCCATGCTAAGTTTCGGAATACTGAAGTCTTCTGGGTTTTTGCTTTTTAAAGAGGTGTGGGAGCAGAGGAATGGAAACAATCATTCGTTTTTAAGCTAGGGAAGGTGGGAGATCCTTTAATCTTTTTAAGGGAGCAGTGCCACCCTAGACAAATTTATAATCCCCCATCATTTTGTTAGAGTTTTAGTTAACCCAAGGAAGGGAGCATATCTGTGGCAAACTATTTTCCACTCAAATCCTGAGTTAATGCTGCATGCTTTAGTTTCGTCTTCCCTTTCAGTATTATAAGAACTTCGAAGTCACATTTGTGATCTTTCGTTGGCTATTTATACTTTAGATAGTACCTTTAAGTAGCAGTGTGGGACAAGGCTTGTACATGTTTTGTCTAATGTTCCATCGTCACCTTTTGTGTATTTGTCACTCTTCTAAATCTAACTTTGCACAAGTAACCCATGTAAAAAATGTACATTTTTCAAAACTTGTAAATAAAAATAACCTTAAAATTTTGTAGTCAAGGTATAATTATATTTTAGCTCACTATGAACTTTTAGTATTAACTTACTGGAATCTCATATCTACTCACTTTCCCCCTTGAAATAAACATGGTAAAAGAAAAATACACACACTGGGAGAGGAAAAAGAGAAGTAGATACTGTTGGAGAGGACCTTCTTTCTTGTCATAAGTGTTAATGCTTTGTTCTTTTTTTAACGTTTTAACAAGAATGTAAAACTGTTAAATAAAACAAAGTTCCTTCAGCACACAGTATGGTCAATCAAGCGAATAAAATTGTGTTGGGGAGGGGGGTGATAAACAAAGCTGGGTATTTACCAGTACCTCCAGAGACCAAGAAGCCCTAGCTTCAAAACAAATAGTACCAAACCATTATTAAATGGTACTTTAATTCCCAAGTGAAGTTTGGGAGTCCAGGTAGCCTCAATCTTGAACAAAACTGCTTTCTTTTGGGGAGCAACCGGTCTCATTTTAAAGAGCCAAGAACAGTGACTTTGTAGAAACGCTCGCCTCTCGTCTGGGGTAGGGGCTAAATGAAATTAAGCTAAGTCTTTATATGGGGTGCCTGGGGGAGCTCAGGTCATGATCTCGGGGTCCTGGGATCAAGCCCCACATCGGGCTCTCTGCTCAGCGGGGTGTCTGCTTCTCCCTCTCCCTCTGTGCTGCTCTCTCTCATATAAATCTTTAAAAGTTAAGTCTTTATGGTGTATGTGCTACACTCATCTTTAAGACATGGCACTTAAAGGAATGTCAGTGTGGCAGAGTTCATTCAATGCATTCATTGGTTGGTTCCACCTAGGAGCATCATCCTTAAATGTGCTTAATATTTTCCCTCAAGTCCATTTCTGCTTCAGAGTAGAACCACATTAAATTGGTCTTTATTTGGTAGATTAGTTTTACGTTAACTTTTTCATCCTGTGGCTGGGTACCTTAAATAGTGACACTCTTAGTCACACTTTAAAAAGGTGAGATCGGTAACATGCAGATTTTTTCCTTTTTATACACCTCCCGAGAAACATCATTCCATCTTTTTCATGGGATAATCCTTTTAAAACGGTACAACAGAGTCAACAAGCTGATCTCTAAAAGCATCATATCCAAGGTCAAAGGCACTACAAAAACCATTCAAACCTTTAATGCTAATTTGCCTTTTTTTCTTTACAATGTTTTTTACAAATGCCACAGGCTGCCTGCATGTAAATAGAATAAGGCTAAAACAGATTTGTGAGGTCCCCTTACAAACGGCAGTCTGATTTGAACTTGAGTCTTCAACTCTGCACCTGCTGATATGGGGAAAGGGGCATGAGGGAACCATGAGGATTATAACCAGGTTATAATCAAGAGTCCTTTCTATAGGACCCATCTCCAGCTTCAGGGGTTACTCACAGTAAAGTGAATGCACTGCATCCTACTAAAAAAAAAGTATCCCAACAGAATGCATGAAACTCCCATTCATTTTGCAATCAAAGGAGAGGGAAAAAAATCTAAAAAGTAGATCTGTGAGACTTGAGGCTATATATGTAACTGAAAGTTACTCAGTATAACTTATTTAAGTAATTCAAATAAAACTTGAAGCAGCTCATTTATCTGTGCAGGTTTTATAGCAAAGTTACTGAGTTACAAATGGCTGCTCTTTAGAAGAAAAGGAAAACACCACAGGAGCCAACAGAATGGGGACAAAATAGAACAGCAAGGTTGTCAGCAGCTCATTCTCAACATATTTTATCGTCAAGCAGAGCTAAGTGACTTCACCCTAATTCTGCATCAATACCAAAGCCGATCTAAGAAGTTAGGAAATCTGGACCCTCAAATCCAGAACCAAATGTATAGCTGGCCCAATTATTTGGGAGCCTTAACTGTGACTACGTTAATATTCTGTTAAACTTATCTAAGAAAACCAGATTTATGTGTAACATGTCCCTACTCCCCACCTCCCTCCTCCTGCCCAATCATTTTGGGAAGAGAAAAGAAATGTGAAGAGAGAAATGAGTTTTCACCCCCCCCCCCCTTGATCCGCAAAGCCACTCTTACTCAAGAGAACTGAAGGCTGGCTTTTCTAACTTGCTAATTGAACCACAGCTTCTCAAGGTTGGCATGAACCCTGTAGGTTTTAAAAAAAAAAAAATCCTATAAAATCTATAAACATCCCAGCTTATGTTCCCTTTGCCACTGTTAAAACATTAAGTGCCAAAATAAAATGCACACTTCATTTCTTTTCCAACCAACATTAGGAAAGGCCACGCACTGTAAGAAAGAGAGTTAGTGAAAAGCAAGTATCACACAGTTAATCACTGTGGGTGACTAAAACTTAGAGATCCAGGTACAAAAGCCAATCCCTTTATGTTTTTAAACTACTGGTTTAACTACAATGGGCAGCTTCTTGATGCAAAATAGAAAAGAGAGGGGAAAGGCAATTACTGTTTATTGTGGGCCAATTACACGTCAAGTATGGGGCTAAATGCCTTCAGACACTGTAAACACCCTAATTGTTCTATCATTTCATTGGCATGTTTAACTATTGATATTAACATTCATCTCTAAATATCGATACTTGATTTATCGGAGATACAAAACCAAAACCATGTAGAAGTACACAGCCGGAGATTTGGTCGCAGCCAGCATGTTGGCCCACAGCAAAAACGTGATGGGTGACCGATTAGCCGTTCGCATCTGCTAAGTCATTACATTCATCCACATGTGCTCTGGTGTTGAAATATTTTGTGCAAACACCACTTCCCCTCTCCAAAGACCCAGAGTGTCGCTACTAGGCTGCTGCCCAGAAATAAGCACACTGCCATTCTGATCAACATCAGCTCCTTTTTATTCAGGAAGCATACACTAATTCTTTTTTATACATTTTTTTTTTACATTCCAGAAATAAGCGAAAATAGCAGTTTTAAATATGTTACAAAGTTGGCTTTTGGGGCTTAATAAGCTTTTTGAGAGAGGGACCAGCCAACTGACCTTTTCATCAAAGCACCAAGGTGTCTCCGGTCTCTTACCCAGCTCTGCCCCCGCTGTGGCCGCCTTGGATGTGCTGTGCGCCCAAACCACGGGAAAAGCTGTAACGGAGAGTTGCTGTGAGGCTCTCTGCAAGGCACCAAGAACAGACAGCTCCAGCTTCCTTTCTTCAGATTGAAGCAAAGTTTTTGAAACTTTTCAACTGCTCTCTCAAATAGTGCTCTCTCAGCATGAAGACTAGAATTTATTAAAACTCATATCACAAGATAACAGTAATTCACTTCCAATATTCTGGAAACCACATGGTAGAAGTTATAAATAAACGAACACTAAAATTACTTTAAGAAAGTTTTACATCATTTAGTCGGTAGGGACATTTACACGTACGGCACAATTTACTGTTAAACATTCTTTAACTGGCTTCACACAGAGATGAAAATAGTAATACAAAATGATCTGACATTTTCAGGAAGTCTGAAATTAAGACTGTAGTTTTATCGTAATCAATATCAACTTTACATATTGTTGCAGATTGCTGTGCTATGCCCTTTAAAATGGGAATTTCTTTCTCGGGGTGAAATTCCATTTGGATACGTGTTCTTGCTTTGTACAAACTACTAAAATCGGAGGGACACAGCAATACCAAAGACACAAACAGTAACTGCACAATATCACCTGCTGGATTTAAGCTAATACAAGTGGACACAATTCTTCAGGTTCCACTATCTAATAAAGCACTATATGAAATGAACAAGGTGAGACATCTTAAGAATGGATATACTCTGCAGCCAGGACATGTGGCATTTCTTTCATTCGTGAATCTGCCTCATGGGGCATTTACAAAGTAAATTAGTTACGAGCTCAATTTGCTTGCGGCATCACGAGCTCGTAATGCCCCACTTGGCCTTCCTGTTTGAGCTGGTCCAGGAGGTCTTCCTTCCGCCGCTTCCTGCCTACCACCAGGTACCTGTCGTGGCCTACCCCGTGCGACTTACTCTTAAGACCGTACTTCTGGGCGATCTGGTGTATTTGCTTCCGCTCGTCGTTAGTCAGCTCCGTGGAGAAAGTCAAATCCGTGTGGCTCTCCGAGCGGGCGTAGTTTCTGATGATCTGTTCGATGTCTCTCTTGGCGATTTTGTTCACCCTCTCCACATCAAGGCCGAGCCCCTCTCGCTTATGCTGCTCTTTGACAGAGATCGGCTCCCGGATGCCCTCGCCGGATTTACCTAAACCGCCACCCGTCCAGCCCATCTTTCTCAGCAGCTGGTTTCCTATGTTATCTTCTTTGATTTGTTGTTTATAAGCCTCCTCTGCCGAGCGGCCCTGAATTTCATTTCTGGAAATCACATCTTCGACAGCTCCTTTCTTCAAATTGTTAATGACCGTCGGCTGGGTCTTTTTGAGGGTTTTCACAGCTTCCCCAGCAGCTTCGTATTTGACCGTTTTCTTCACCCCAACTGCTTCCGCGATCACTTCGCTCTCTAGGATCACCTTGCATTTCCATCGGAGGCCTGTCATTCTTTCGTAGACGTATTCGACAGTCATGCGGTTGAACTGAGCTGTGTCGTTCAGGGTGCACACCGGATTTGAAGAATTCTCATAAACTACGAGATCCTTTATATCTTTCTTCTTTCCAGATCCCCTGGGTGAAGAGCCTGTCTGGCACTGTGAACTTTTGACCGAGGGGTAAGTGGGCTGTGTTTTTTGAAGGATTTTCAAAGCCTCATCGGCAGCTGCGTGTTTGCTTGTTTTTTTGGTTCCATAACCTTCAGCCAAGCAGTGATCTTGCAGAAACACGCGGCAACGCCACGTGCGATTCGGCATCATCTCGTATTTATATTCAACTGACATTTTGTTGTATGAGGCAGAATTGTTGAGGATGCCAATCGCATCGTTTGCATTTTCTGTAAGGACAAAATTGGTCCAGTGTTTGGCGGAAGCATTAAAAATCGGCTGCCCAGAAGCATCTTTAGCCAGCACCACCAGCTCTTCCGGCGGCTTCAGAGCCGGAGGAAACTCGTACGCGGGCATGCC